ATTTTGCATCTCTTCGTAGTTTTGTGTGTCTCTGTAGTCATTTTGTGTCTCTCTGTAGTTGTTTTGTGTGTCTTTGTATTCAACTTATGTGTCTTTGTAATTGTTTTGTGTCTCTTTGTATCTTTTCTGTGTCTCTCTGTTGTTGTTTTTTGCCCCTTTTCATGTTGCTGTTTTGCATCTATTTGTAGTTGTGTGTGGTTTCTTTGTGGTTATTTGGGCTCTCTTCCTGGTCAGTATGTCTCTTTGAGTGACATTTTGCAGGAGGAGGCCAGGGGGCCCCTGACACTTGTGGCCCATGGGCCTCTGTCTATGCATAGTCAGCCTGTTGTTCTGTAATCCATCCATGCAAACGAGGAACTAAAACTGAAACAGGTGTGATTCATGGTTGCGAATGCATGGCTTTGGAGTTTTGTGTAAGAGCCACAGTGTCTAAATGCGACGATATTCAGCTTGACAGCCAGATTTACAGAGATGCTCCCTTTTCTGTCAGTAATTAATAACATCAGTTTGCTGACATCACCTGCTGTGGAAAAAAACAAGTGCATAACAGTCCCCGTGCGTACCCATTATTATTTTACCTTCATCTACCCCCCGCTGAGAGCTCTGCTCTCCTGTGGGTCCTCAATCTCTATGGTATCAGTCTGCTGCTGTGTGGGTGACAGTCAGTGTTAGCACTTCCACATGTAAATATCAATTTCATTGTCTGGTCAAGCTGCAGACACAAAGCTTCCTTACTCACTTCAGTAAAATTCAAGTCAGGGAAAACATCTTTGGTGAAGTCAGGGTTAGAGTAGAACTTGTTTTCACTATATTAGATATAATGAACCTGGCATGTAACTCACAGCTCCCCCACTTATCCACTAAATGTCCTGCAGCTCTCAAGTGTGTAGATTCTGAGTCCCTTAGCTTCAGCATCATTATAGAAGATGTCCCTTGAGCAAAGCAAATTGAGGTTCCCTAAATGTTTTCCACATTTAAGGATGCTCAACTTGCTTTGCTCTAGGGACACTTATGCAAAATGACATGAAGGCCAGGGGCCAGTTAATAAACAAACATTTATAATATTTACCAGTATAATAAATGAATTGCTTGTTCTCAGCATTTCAAAGTTTGCTGTCCTCACTCGTCTTCACCAAGAGGCAAATCCAGTGGCAGCAGCGACACACAGGTCAGGTGGACACAGGGCGCTTCTAGGATTTGTGGACTTTCAAGGCTTAGTCCAGACTTCTGTCGGGGGCTCTGGGGGAGCCTCTCTTGGCATTTTGTCCATAAACAAGCAGTATTTTGCTGCTTTTTAAACACACCTAGGCACCTTTTTAACATTACAAAAAACAGTAAAAATTCCCAGTGTGAATCAATTTCTTTTCATTGTGAATTAGAAAATGGTGGGCAGGCTACCTTCCTACATCCTTATATTTACTAGATCCTTGCAGATGTAACTGGGGTAGGCAAAAAATTAGAAATACCTCTTGGTTTAACACAATACAACTCAAGAAAACTACAAGATTACCATCGAGTTGAATCCACATCTGAATATAATAATAAGAACCGAGCATTATAGTAATCAAAAAGGCAGATTTTATTGCAGGTCTGTTGTATTAGGCTGCATTACTTTTAGCTTAGTGGACCTAATAAACTGGCAGCTGAGAGTCTTTGAAAAACAATTAGTTTAATTAGGATATTCACAGGTTATTAAGAACTTACTGTACAAATATAAAACCTGATGCATTTTATTAGAATGAAAATGAAACATTTAGTTCAGTTCCTCACATTATATTAATTTATGACAATAATGTATTCTGTAATCAAAGTTATGTTCCAGTTTTACTCTCCAGCAGCACAACCAGGGCTGCTCAGCAAAATAAAGCTGCCATAAAGGCAACAATTTGCTGCCAGTAAAATGAAATTAGCAAATGCTGCTTGGTAATAAAGCACTGCTTTACAGGATACAACTGAATAACTAAAGTCAATTAAATTTTGGAAATAACTAAAAATTCTAGATGCCTCAATATTGCAAAATGTAATAGAAAACACTGCAAAGCACTTTACAGTAATACACAAAGGCCAATCCATGTTTTTTTAATATTGCTCAGTGTCATTCCCTGTCTCACCTTTTTTTTTTTTTTCACATCAAATGATGTTTACACAGCAGTTTTATGAATCCAAATAAACCACTAGTGCTCACAGCGGTTTATTGACACTCCAAGTGGGGCTAGTGGGCCACATTTAGCTCTGGCAAAATGGAGGGAAATGATTAATACTGATGAAGAAGACTGGTGGTTTATTTAGGATGAGAACTCTTAAGCTCCACAAGTACTTTCACAGGTTCATTTCAGGTCCAAGCCAGGGTCTGCGACACAGCTGGTGGGAAATTTGTGGTTCATTCAAGCACACTGCATGGGGGCAGATGCCTGCTGATATGAAGACTTGATCCCAGATTCCCTTTCCATATGTCCTCGGTACAATGTGTCACTTGCTGCTGCACTGCAATATACAGAGATACTGGAGAGTACGGACAGTTTTGTTGCGTTCACAGTGATGTACATGCTTTTACCCTCTGTGATGTGCCCATGCGAGACTTAGACACACTGTAAATAGCACAACATGAGCAACGCCATTACTTGTAGAGTCAATTGCATTAGCTCAGCCCAGGCTCAGAAGAAAAATCTAAATCCCCAGGACGGATAATCACGAGCCCTTCTGTGAATGTGTGTGTCATGTAGATGGTGAGGTCTATACTGGGTCTCCAATCCATTGCATATTCAAGGCTTTTTTTCAAAACGATATACTTAGTAAGAGTACAGCACTCTAAAGCTCTTAGAAATGTAATATTTTTAACCTAAAACCTGGAAGCATCTCTGTGGCAGATCCAATAGGCTTGCATAAACCGGAGATAGTAATTTGTATCATGAGTGATGTCTTGTCTGTCTCCATTTGACAAAATATTTGTTGTCATTTTGGTAGAATGTGGGTGTTTCTCAAAGTCAAGGAAGGATCCTTACATGGCAGAATTTCAAGGATGCTACGTCATCGAATCCCGTCTGAGGGCTGTTCTGATGTCAAGGATCCTTCAGATTCTACCGAGGACAGAGTCCTTCATTCAGAGAGTTTTCAAGCATGCATGTGTGTATCCTCATTTAGCCTACCTAGCTGTTAGTATAACCCAGAAATATATTCTCCCTAAAAGTCATGTGACTCTGAAAATACTGCTTACATTTGTTCAAACTGTACAACATTAGAGTGTGCCAAGATTATCGTAGTACCCTGAAACCCCCTCAGTCCACCTGGGGACACTCGTTAGCATGTTCCAATGTGTGTTCACCGAATGCTAAGAAGGACTCTTGCCTTGCCTCCTTGTTCTACCAAGGAAGGATCCTTTTCAACGAGTCACCAGGGACTTACCCTAAAAGCCATGTTATATGCCCCAAAGTATACTCGAGAGGATCACATCGACAGGCTACTTGAACACAGAGGCACTGCAGGATGGGCTCTCTGTGCAAAATGTCCCCAGAGTGGTCGTTTTAAACACCTCTTTGACCGTCAGCACATAATGCATGCCCACATAATTAGCCGTTCCTCTAAACTGAGAGATGACTGTACTGTGGCAGGCTCTTAATTTAAAAGGCCCTCGCTGATCATAAATACATTTTTCTAACACCTCTTTCCTCAGCGGAGCTCATACTCTATTCGCCTGCATCCCACATGCACCTAAAAGGCACATGACCTGGTAGGTTTAGACAAGCTCCCGCAGTCCTTCCAGTCAGTCGTCCATTTATTCCCTCTAAGACCACAAGCAGCCAAAACAACCCAACACACCACGGTCTCTTCTATGGTATACCTGCAGCAGGAGTGCCATACAAAGATCTCCTATGAGTCTCCTCTTTACACAAGCGCTGAACTGTTCAGGTTTGTGTGTATGTGTGTGATGATGAAGGGAACTGAAATTGTGTGTTTATGACAGGGTTTTAGCGAGTATGCTTGTGTCAAAGATTTGCCTGAAAAGGTTGTTTTTTCCACTTCATAGCAAAGGCCGAATGTTGGGATTATTAAAAGCTTGATTAATCAGTTAATGAGGCTGGGACAGACAACGCCATCTATTTAAAAGCAGAGGACAACACTTAAATCCAGGGAAAGGAAAGCTTTAGCTGCCAGTTGAATGGGAGAAATTCAATAGTCCACAAGTGGTAATTAACTAATTGTAATCAGCCAGCAATGGCCCTTAATTAAGTTCCTTTTGTGATGCGTGTTGATGTGTGTAAAAACAACTCTCAAACACAGCCTGGACAAATCAAATTTATATATTGTTAGCATATTCCACAAATGCTTTCAGACCGCAGACAAAATCAGTATAATAATCAATAGACAAAAACATTACATTAAATTAAACAATTTATACTGTTAAGTGAACGAGGCCCCTCTTACACACACATAACCTCACTGTAATGGTGAGGCAGAGTAATGAAGCCAATGTAGGGGTGCAGCTCCTCTAATGACTGCAGGATACTGGCTCCAAGAAATCTGTGAAACGCCCTCTTGAAATACACATCATATATTTTCTCACAAGTTCAGGTCTCAGTAATTAATTTTACATCTGTCAATGTGTGTGTGTGTCATGGTGGAGATTGTGAGATCATTGTTCCGTTAATAAGATAATGAGGCTTACAGGGTGTGTTTGCTGTCACAGGCAGCCCTGAAGGTTTCTGCTTGTTCATCCCACCTCAGCTTCAGAATAATGGTGAGCTGTAAACCTAAATACCCACTTTAAAATGTCCCCTGATGAAAGTATGGGTGATGTCAGTGGCATAATATCTGTGTTTCTAGCACATTAGTCACATGAGAGTGGCAGACGTTTACAGCTGAATCTCTCTTTTAGTCACACCAATATAGTATCTTTTAGGATTCGGTTCTGATTTAATTTTGAAATGTTTGTCCTTCAAAGCTCCTATTCAGCTCTGGAGGTTGCTCTGGAAAAGTTTGATGAATCAGGAGGAGCTGAGTCCATATCAACCCGATGGATAAAGTCCAGAGGTTTTATCATCCCACCTTGGAGTTCCCTGAAATGTAAAGTATGGTGTTAGACGTCTATGACACACATTTATACAGTGCAATCTGTAAGCAATACACACACAATGGAGCACAAATGTCCTACTTTCTGTGTGTCACTGCTGAATGATCCTGATGTTTGTTTGACTATATAAAGATCATTATTATAGATAACTAATACAAACTCATGGATACCAATGAAAACAGCCAAGCTAACAATGAATTCTAGACTGAATAAATCATAAACAACCTGATTTCTTAACAAATAAACAAAATAGAGTATAGTTGTAGAGTGCAGCTGTGCTGACTGATAAAATATCCATGTTCTGCAACTTCGGAATACAGCATGAATCATGTTTTCCCTTTTCCTTACCCTGATTTCTGTTACACAACAGCTACAGAGAAGAACGCTAAAATGGAGCCTTTGTGTCCAGTCTCTCTTCTCCTGTCTCTTTTCGCACTGCTTCGCTACATTCATCGTGTCCCTGGAGATGTGATGTTATGAGCAAAGCTTGAAGAAACAGTAAGGGTTGTGCAACGAGGTCCACCCTGGAGCAGAGATTCCTAAGCCACTGACATCTTTGCAATGACATCATGTTTCTCCCAAGTTCCAGCATCCCAAAACAATGGTCATACAGTCCTGAAGCTGTACTGTATGACCATTGTACCAGAGGATGCACCTAAAAATAGGTCTTAGTTGTACAGAAAATTGAGGATGGGTCTACATATGCTTTGTGAAGAACATGTCAGTACTTTACACTGTACGATAAAAAATACTGGAACAGAGAAACAATGGTTATCTCAGAAGGTCAGTAAATACTTTATCTTTATGACTATTTGCTCAAATAGAACTGTCACTCAAGGCCATTTATGACAGGAGAAGAAAATCACTCTCAATTGTAAGCAAGTGCAAGTAGTGTCTCTGATCACATCACATCTCTGATCATCAGTTTTAGTGGTTTCAGTTTTAGACAGATTACTAAACTAGGTAGTTTGGATTGAATTGACAGTGTTGCTCTTTGTAATGTGCTATTGTGAGAGTGTCATTTTTATGTTTGAAGGAAGATGTGCAGAGGAGAGGGAGGATATTGTAGAAGACAAAAAAGGTAACTCTAAAAGGCATTAGGAACTACAATTTTATTCTGCTATTTTTCTACTGTAATAAAAAACCACAATGAAAACTGAAAGTACAGTGCTGAATTATTCCATCCAAAATCATGGAAAAAAGTCATATTATAGAATGTCGTCCAAAATTGTGAAAAAAGTCATGGTTTACCATGTCTTCCAAAATCCAAAAAAAACATTATTGTGTAGCATGTCGTTGAAAATCATAAAAACAAATTAATAGTGTAGTATGTCATCGAAACTCATGAAAACGAAGACACAGTATAGTATGTTGTCTAAAATTGTTAGAAAAAGTCATAGTATATGTCGTCCAAAATCATGAATAAAAAGTCATAGTGTAGTATGTTGTTCAAAATCATGAAAAAAAGTCATAGTATAGTATGTCGTTCAAAATCATGACAAAAAGTCATAGTATAGTGTGTTGTCCAAAATCATGAATAAAAAGTCATAGTATAGTATATTTTTCAAAATCATAAAAAAAAGTCATAGTTAAGTATGTCCTCCAAAATCATAAAAAAAGTCATAGTATAGTATGTCGTTCAAAATCATGAAAAAAAGTCATAGTTAAGTATGTCGTCAAAAATTATGGGATAATGTCCTAGTATAGTGTGTCGTCCAAAATCATGAAAAAAAGTTACAGTTTTGTATGTTGTTCAAAATCATGAAAAAAAGTCATAGAATAGTACGTTGTCCAAAACCATGGATAAAAAGTCATAGTATAGTATGTCGTTCAACATCATGAAAAAAAGTCATAGTATAGTATGTCGTCAAAAATTATGGGATAATGTCCTAGTATAGTGTGTCGTCCAAAATCATGAAAAAAAGTCACAGTTTTGTATGTTGTTCAAAATCATGAAAAAAAGTCATAGAATAGTACGTTGTCCAAAACCATGGATAAAAAGTCATAGTATAGTATGTCGTCAGAAATCATGAAAAAAAAAGTTATAGTATAGTATGTTGACCAAAATTATGACATAAAGTCATAGTATAGTATGTCGTCATAAAATCATGAATAAAAAGTCATAGTATAGTATGTTGTTCAAAATCCTGAAAAAAAAGTCATAGTTTTGTATGTCGTCCAAACTCATGAAAAAAGTCATAGAATAGTATGTTGTCCAAAACCATGAATAAAAAGTCACAGTATAGTATGTCGTCCAAAACCATGAATAAAAGGTCATAGTATAGTATGTTGTTCAAAATCATGAAAAAAGTCATAGTTAAGTTTGTCGTCCAAAATCATGAAAAAAAGTCATAGTATAGTATGTTGTCCAAAATCATGAAAAAAGTCATAGTTTTGTATGTTGTTCAAAATCATGAAAAAAAGTCACACGACAGTAAGTTGTCCAAAACCATGGGTAAAAAGTCATAGTTTAGCATGTCGTCCGAAATCATGAAAAAAAGTAATATTATACAACAGTTAGTTCCGGCCCTGCAATCTGATTGGTCGAGAGACAGTAAAACTGTGATGATATTGGAGTACAACATCACGGTTATTTCACTGTGTATGTATCAATGACTTGGAGAAAAGCAACATACTGTCAGATCAGAAGGCAGAGTCGGCTGTGCCTGTGAAGTGACAGTCCACCAGGCAGTCACCAGAGACTTATTTCACCGGCTGCACAATTAATGGAAACGTGCAGATAAATGTGTATAAAGAGTAAGTGCCTGGCGCACCATGTCTGCGTTACATAGCAATGGTGACAGCGGAGTCCTGAGGGAACTATTTTTGTTGGCGGAAGACAAATAAAATGCTTAATTTCTTAAAAAATGTCACAGTATAGTATGCTGACCAAAATTATGAAAAAAAGTCATAGCATAGCATGTCGTCCAAAATTATGGGAAAAAGTCATCGTATAGTGTGTCATCCAAAATCATGAAAAAAAGTCATAGTATAGTATGTTATTCAAAACCATGAAAAAAAGTCATAGTTTAGTATGTCGTCCAAAATCATAAAAAAAAGTAATAGTATAACATGTTGACCAAAATCATGAATAAAAAGTCATAGTGTAGTATGTTGTTCAAAATCATGAAAAAATGTCATAGTTAAGTATGTCGTCCAAAATCACGAAAAAATGTCATAGTATAGTATGTTGTTCAAAATCATGAAAAAAAGTCATAGTATAGTATGTCGTTCAAAATCATGACAAAAAGGTCATAGTACAGTATGTCGTTCAAAATCATGAGTAAAAAGTCATAGTATAGTATGTTGTCCAAAATCAATCAATCAATTTTATTCATAAAGCCCAAAATCACAAATCACAATTTGCCTCACAGGGCTTTACAGCATACGACATCCATCTGTCCTTAGGACCCTCGCAGTGGATAAGGAAAAACTCCGACAAAAAAACCCTTTAATGGGGGGAAAAAAATAGTAGAAACCTCAGGAGGAGCAACTGAGGAGGGATCACTCTTCCAGGACGGACAGACGTGCAATAGATGTCGTACAGAACAGATCAACATGATAAATTAACAGTAATCGGTATGACATAATGAGACAGAAAGAGAGACAGAGACAGAGAGATGCAGGACCAACAGTAATGACAATAGCTTACAACAACATTAATTAAAGTAATAATATCATAATTCTAATCTAAATCTAAATTACGGCTATTGTGGTACAATTTGTTAAAAGTATATATTAATATCTGATAGTATACATATGTGACAATAGTCACATATGTATAATAACAGTAGAAGTATGACTAATGATAACAGCAGCAGCAGGAGGCATCAGGCAGGACCACGGCAGCAGCACAACCACACACGCCACACCATGCAGGCACCGCTGTGATAGAAGTTAACCTGCGAGAAAGTGGAGCACAAAGGCTCCGGAATTTGTGAAAAAAGTAATAGTATTGCATGTCATCCAAAATCATAAAAAAGTCATAGTATAGTATGTCGTCCAAAATCATGAAATAAAGTCATAGTATTGCATGTTGTCCAAAATCATGAAAAAAAATCATAGTATAGTATGTCGTCCATGATCTTGAAAAAAGTCAATGTATAGCATGTCCTTCAAAACCAAGAAAAAAAGTCATAGTATAGCATGTCATTTAAAACCATGAAAAAAAGTCATAGTAATGTAAGGATCATCCGGGGCTCCTGTCCAACTTTGTGTTTCCCTCCTGTTTTATCCGCCCTCTTGTTTTGTGTTCATGTTGTGTGTTTCCCTTGTCTGTCTGTTCCAGGGCTGGTGTGGCTTCTGGACTTCTCAGCACTCTCATCGCAGCTTCTGTGCATCAAGTTGAGCACCGCCTACCTCTCCTACAGTGTATATATACCTGATCTTTCTCTCCATTCATCGCCAGCTCGTTGTTGTAACCACAAGTGGTAATTACTTGACCAAATTCTCAGAGAACTCAGACCCTTATTGACTCTAAGTTTTTGTATGCTTTTCCTGACTCTTTATTTTGTTGTCCTGTCAGTGCCGGGCCATACTAACCTGTTTTCATCTGCCACGCTCAGCCACAGCCTCTTCATCAGCTAGGATCCTCTCCACCTGGACATCCAATGACTCAGCTGGCTCAGCTTTGAGTTTCTCTCATCTACACTCCTGCTTTACTGACTTTTTCTGGATAATAAACAAGTTAACTCCTACCCCTGTCTTTTCTCTGCATTGTGGGTCCAATTGCTGTTTTAAGTGAAAGCTTAACCGGAATAGCATGTCATCCAAAAACATAAAAAACAACTCATGGAATGGCATGTCATCCAAAATCATGAAAAGAAGTCATAGTACAGTATGTCGTCCAAAATTATGAAAAAAAGTCATAGTATAGCATGTCGTTCAAAATCATTAAAAATAGTCATAGTGCAGTATGTCATCCAAAATAATGAAAAAAGTCATAGTGTAGTATGTTGTCCAGATTCGTGAAAAAAAGTCAAAGTATAGCATGTCGTCCAAAATAATGAAAAAAAGTCATAGTATAGTGTGTTGTTCAAAATCATTAAAAAAAAGTCATAGTATAGTATGTTGTCCAGAATCATGAAAAAAAGTCATAGTATAGTATGTCGTCCAAAATCATAAAAAAGTCATAGTATAGCATGTCGTTCAAAATCATAAAAAAGTCATAGTATAGTATGTTGTTCAAAATCAAGAAAAAAAGTCATAGTATAGCATGTCGTAGAAAATCATGAAAAAAGTCATAGTATAGCATGTTGTCCAAAATCATAAAAAAAGTCATAGTATAGTATGTCGTTCAAAATCATTAAAAAAAAGTCATAGTATAGCATGTTGTCCAAAATCATAAAATAGTCATATAGCATGTTGTCCAAAATCATAAAAAAAAGTCATAGTATATTATGTTGTCCAACATCATAAAAAAAAGTCATAGTATAGTGTGTCGTTCAAAATCATGAAAAAGTCCTAGTATATTGTGTCATTAAAATGCTGTAAGAAGTCATAGAGCCATAAACATGTAATTAAAATGTCATAGTATAATATGCCAAAAGAAAATAATTAAATGTTGTAGTATAATATGTAACAAAAAAGTGAAAGTGTAATATGCCATTAAAAGTCAAGGCCTTAATTGTCAATAATTGATCAACCTTTAATACCCTTTTAAGACCCCGCACACACCCTGTATTTACAAATTAGTGTTTAATCCTTTGTGAAAAATCAGAGTGATATGAGTGAAGCTTAAAAGCTGGGTCATACACATCCTCATACTTTAGCTGTGTGGTGTTCATTAATAAAAACTGATGTTTACAGCAATAACAACAGTTTTGACAACTGGTCTTTGCTACCCAATATTTTAGTTTCAGACTCCACCTGAATAGAAACAATATGTCTATAGCATTTGTATTGGAAAAGTACTCTGAGCAGATGTTTAGTTATTATCAACATAATATGTAAAGGTTACCATGTGGCTCACAGAAAGGTCTCTGTTTTAAGCCCCGACAAAATTCCTTTCTTGCTGTGTCATACGGGTGAAGAGTCTGCAGTTATCAGGTTATCAAGGATTCTATCTGTCCTCCAATCCCCTTTGACTCGGCCACAGCTCCACAATCCTGCAAGGAGTAAGCTTAAGTGTGTGTGCATGTGTGTGTGTGTGTGTGTGTGTGTGTGTGTGTGTGTGTGTGTGTGTGTATGTGTATCCTCCACCTCTTCAGCCTACTGCCAACTGTGCCTGAACTGTGAATTCCCACTGATCCTGTTTCCTGCCCTGCCTGATGAAATACCCACAAAATGACACAACTACATCCGTGTGCTTGTGTGTGTTGGAGAAGAGAAAAACATGTTCAGTGTCATGTTGGGCCTCTGTGACCGTGGATTGTGCTCTCATACTGACACATGAAAATAAAATTATGTGCTGATGCTTAGAGAGACTGGGTGTGAGATTTATGCATGCGTATGTGCGCCTCAGAGATTTCTTGGCCCTGCATGTGATTTTGTGTGCTTTCTGACTGGTGTAATAAACCTGTCTGAGTGTGCGTTTGTACTTGCCCATTTTCCCATATTGCACGGAGGAGTGAACAAAACACAGGGGGGTTTTAGCTCTTTAACATGAGCTGAAAATCACGCTCTTGTGCCCTCAGAGCTTATCTCCTTACCTCTCCTCTTTTCCGTCTGCTGGGTGAAATGAATACACCAGCAGAGAAGCCAAATGCAGTGAGGCTGCAAGCTGATAGGTAGTGTGTATGATAAATTAACTTTGGCTAACCCAGACATAAGGGAACAGGCAGTAAAAAGCATACACACACTCCACCTGACAGTTTGTGTAAGGCAGCTTTGTGCCTCTCCTGCTGCTCATTAAAAGATTCCATCCTGACTCAAAACAGCAGCCTCGTTCAGCTGGACAATGATGAATAATAACCCACTGTGCATGATGCTAACAATTAATGGGGCCAACTTCTAGGTAATGAAACAACAGCTGTGCTTGAAGGAGCATTAGCACTACCATTTATTAATTGAACACTGTCATTTTGTTACTTCTGTCCCTTCCTTCCTGTCTTCCGTTGCTCTCCGTCTCTTCTTCCCTCACTTCCTGCTGATGTAGAAGTTGGAAACCTGAATCATGCCGTTCTGCTTGTTGCTGTTGGGCAGAGAAATCGAGTGCAACAGCTCTACTCAGCAGCATAAGGATTTTCACAACAGTGAATATCACTATCTCACAACATCATCTGAGGCCAGGGGACCTGGCTTAGCTCTTAAACTGTCTGTGCTTCTTAGCCTGTCGACACTGACTGGCAGGAATGTTGGGCCAAACAGAGCTAAAGCAGTGTTGAGCACATCCAGAGTCATCACTGTAGAAACCATATTGGCAGCATATCTTCAACTTAAAGTAGTTTGGAGTCTATTTCCTGAACTTTTTGTAACAAATATATGTCTTTTTAGAACACTTGTTAGTTTTGAAATGCAGTTATAGTAAGTGTATATGTATGGAGTGTTGAAATTTAAAGGCTGCATATTGGTTATATATGTGATGAAATTTAGACCTATAAACTCGAGGTGACTTAGCTATCTGAAGTAATAAATAAATCGGGAAAACTAAGGGAAAAGGATAAAAATATCTAGAAGTCGGCAGTGTTAGGTGTAACGCGTTGCAAAGTAAAGCATTACAAAGTCACGTTACTGCAATCACCTCACTTTTGTTAGCAAGACAATATGTTACTGTTTTAAAATTAGTAATACATTACAGTTACTAATCAAACAATTATATAATAACTTGTGTTACCTAAGTTCTTCAATCATCTGCATAATAGGTGAACAAAATAAAATTATCAAACATGCCGACAACAGTGACATCATCCCCTGCGCTCATGGAGAGGCTCCTCAGCCTGGGCAGTCTTATTCTGACTCCAGTCTTGTGCTGACTTAGTGGAGGAACAGGTTGTGAGACCAACAATCTAAGGATATCCTCCTCAATCAATCACTCAACAATCAATCATTTAATATGTCAAAAAAGCTGGTCTAGTCTACTACAAAGCCATGGTTTCATGAGCGAGCAACTCAGTGAGTTTTTTTGAGTGTGTTTGGCCCATTAAATACCATACTTGCTGTGCCTTTTTATTGTTACCAGGCAACCATGCCATCGCCTCCTTACTCTAACCTTCCTGTGTAATCAATCTACAATTTATTTACTTATTTTAGTTATTAGATAGTAATTAGTATCTAGTTCCTAAAATAGACAGAGGGTACATGCTGTAGCTCTGGTTGAGGGTGAGAGGTTGTCAGCAAATAGTTTGTTGGTCACAGAGAAATGGAGATCTGTGTGGGTACATGAGACGCTAAAAAAGAGGGTGGATCACAAGGAGCACCACCAGTTGGTCCAGGAGCTTCGCCTCAATGATGGCTGTTTCCAGGCATATTTTAGGATGACTCAGGGGCAGTTTGACAACGTGCTGTCTATTGTCAGGCCGTATAGCTCTGGGTATCCAGCAACCGCCACCACCAGTTTCTCCTCCATTGTTTACCAGCTGTAAACTTGTTGTCGTGACCACCACAGAAGGCCCGCCTCTCAAATCATCTGATTGGGCAATGGAAAAAGATGACGAAAAAAGAGATGACGTGGGGCACTTTTCTGCTTTGAATTGAAGTTTTTTCAACTCGAGTTTAGAGCGCTCCGGCAGAAACACTAGGTGCCTAGAACGCACAAAACGTGAGGCACGTTGCAAAGCAAAAACTGCGGGCAAGGCGCTTCATTCTCATTAAAAACAATTACAAAAAAGCAGCCTCCAATTGCTAAAAGGCTTTCTGTGTGATCAGAGCCTAAGTCTGTCATCACCTTGTGGTGTTAGAAAGGCTCGTCTCTTAAATTATTTTCATGAGGTCTATTGATGTAAGGCAATTATTATGTATACTATGTGGTGTCAGGAAGGCCATTCTCTTTTATATATTGATATAGTTTCATTGAGAGGCAGTTACAGCCTACTGCCATCTTGATTCTCCTGAACCTTTCATTGTGCTAAAATGTGAGTATGTGTAAGATTTAAGGTTATATCATTATTAACTTGCAATTCTGCGACAGTGCATCTCAGTCAGTGTTGCAGAGTAACGCCAAAGTAATGCATTACTCTGGGTTAAAATACAGAGTGCTGTATGATACATTACTTTTTTTTTAGCAAAGACCCCAACGCTGCTTGCTGCTATGTGCCACATGAGAGTCACCTTTGAGTTAATACTTGAAGATATCATATGACCTTGATTACTGACAATCTTCATGAGAAAAAAAAATTGTGAATTAAGGACTTTTTCATGAGACTTGACTGGAGCTGAATCCAAGAACTGATTCAAATGAGAAAAAAATAATTAGGCTGTTTGAGAAAAAGAGAAGTGGGTACCATCTCCATTGGTGATGCATATGAAACAGTCTAATTTCCCACCGCCTACATCCACTCTGCTTATTGCAAGTGGAAGTAGTGAGTTACGCTTCCTGTCTATAGTATATGCTATACTATGAAGCTGAGGAGAATCACAAACACACAGAGTAGTGCTGTGGAGGGTATACGCAGGTATACGAGGTATAACCACCTCTTTTTCCAGCCAAAAAGCCATTAGAATATATAGAAGTGTATACCCACTTCCTCCTTGGCAACCTACCCACCTACCTAGCTGTACACCCACCTCAATAACAACTGCTACACCACTGCACACACACAAACGACACCTACACTTGTGCCTGCAGGCTGCTGAGGAAACTGCTGATGCGGTCCTGTGGCATGTCCCCATCCAGCTGAGCCAGGTAGGTGTAGAGTTGGACAAAGGTGCAGAACGGAATCCTTGCAGCGCCGCCCTCCTCATCCTCTGTCAGGATCTCACAGGCAAACTTCAGAGAACTCATCAGGGTCTGAGAAAGTGTACGCAGAGACAAGGAGAAGCGGTGAGTAGGATTTTGTCATGAAAAAACAAACAAACAAAAAAAAAAACAACAGACACATAAATACAAAAACATGCCTTTAGCATTCAAGGATGATCACATTCCGTTTGAGCATCACGAGCAGAAGCTGCAAAATACACTTCCATGCACACACACTAGGTCACGGACAGTTAAAAAAACAAAGCCTCAACAGTGTAGAACATGACTGCCCTCATGTGGCTCAAGTGTTTAACAGCATCATAAACAGCAGCAATCTTTCCAAACTCCTGACACTGAGCACATAATGTTGATAATGCTTAGCTGCATTTGCAGACTCTAAGTCATCATCTGCAAAGTCCTCAATGCTCAGAGAAACTCTCTTTAATCTGTCTGTGCTGCTCTATCTGCAACTTTGAAGCAAAATCATTGGCTTAAAAGCATCGCAAAGATTCAAGTAGTCAGAGGAGGATTTATTTTTGGGGCCTGGGGACCTAGATGGTGAAGTCTGGATCACGCACGTCTGGATCTAGTGTAAACACTAGACAACTATATATGAGATGAACAAAAAAAAAAAAGGACTCCTTTAGGATCTCCAGCTGTGCTCGGCCTCGCAGTGGGTTTTACCGCTCAAAAGAAGTGGTATAAAGTGGAATTAGCATTTATATCTGGCCTTATGTAACATCTCACCCCTCCCAGAGCACTGCAGCCCAGGGCGAAAAAATCCATCCAGTTGATGTCTAAGCCGAAGCTGCCCAGCGACAGCAGGGTCTCCAGCTGATCCATGGGTAGACACAGACCCCTCCATTTCTTCTGCAGTTCCTCCTTGCTGCATGTTTGCCCAGGGGACAGCTGAGATTGGGTGGATGAAGTGGAGGGGTTAGAGGAAATGAGGAGAAAAAAAAGGAGTTTATCTAGTTTACCAGATGGCTGTGAGAAATTACAAGTAATTTTTCAGAATCATTTGTTGAAATAAAGAGCAATATTGGATCTGGGGAATCGGGTGGTTGCGCATACTAATGTTCTGTTCATTAGCAAGACTTCCTTTACTTCTGGTGTATGGGAAGACACAGCAAGGAGTTTATTCCTGCTCCAAGCTGGTAGATTGATACATAAGTTACATGTCTGTGTGTTAATGTCCAACATCAATAATTTGTGGCCATAACGTTCTTTTTCAAATTTCAAAACAAACAGTTTAAAAATTAATAACTCATACTATCATATTAGTATCACTGGCATTAAGGCAGAAAGACAGCAGTTTCGTGATAAGGTTAAGACTGTTGCTTAAGCATTGGCCTTTAAGGAAATATTAATTATTCAGTTCTTTTAATGAATCCACCCCACCAAGATGGCATTAGATGCCCCAGGTGAGATTATATAGGTTTACAATAACATGAAATTTTAATGATTCACATGAGGGAACGGTATCACTGCAATAAGCAGATAAACACAAACAAAGAATAAAAGTACAAGCAAATATGGATATTAAACTTGATGCAACTAATAAACACAAGGTATGGTAATCATTTACAGTTAAGCACACTGAAAAAATATGCAATATTGTTTCTACTAGAAGCAAAAATATGAAGCAAGGGATTATGGGGTCTGTTGTATGAGGTGTGGCCCTGCTGCAAAGGAAGTACCTGCTTATGGAGAGTCTTAAGTAGACCTGGAGTCAGCCCGGTGTCTGTCTTCTGGGTGGCAACATTCATCTCCAGCCTGTCCTTGACAGGCAGATGCTCTCCTTTAAACAGCGCAGTGAAGTATCTGTGAGAGGACACACACACACATTATTAACACACTCGCACTGAGCTTAGCTTCACCCTGCTTGTCACTCATCTTCCCTGCTTTATAAGCATGCCAATCAAGTAAAGTGATAAAAGCAGACTATATAAAAATGAGGCAGGATTTGGCATTAGGCCAACTGAATGAGTTCCCACGAGGACCATCAGTTGAAGAAATCATAATGTGTTGTAGTTTTCTTTGTCTGAAGTTTACTGATATTGTTTTTGTGCTAAAGGGCATACTGTGGCTTATCTCACTTCACAGTTTAAATAATGTTTTGTTGTGAATTTAGTGGCAGTGTGGCTTTCAGCATCTCTGAGAGGCAACAGAGCCTGGTGTTACTTTAATAGCATATAAACATCTTGTAACCCAGGAGACATTTGAATTGTTTTTGTTTCGCCATATGGCTCACTTTATTGTCTTTTGCTGTAAACACTGCCGAGCTACATTGGCCAATAAAATAACAGATGATATGACAGTCCTTGGGGGTACAAAAAAAACCTTCATATATTTAAATTTCATCCAGTACTTTCAAAGGGCTTTTTCTTTGCTGGAGAAAGTCAGATAGTTTAACCACTGCGGTAACATGGAAGCCCCTGGGATCCAATTACAGCCAGTCGATGCAAAGACAAGAGATGCACAGGTGAATAGGGCCTGCCATATCACTCAGTGATGCTGCCTGGAGACACTGTTTATGGTATTGTTAAAGAGATCCCGATTGAAATAAAACATAATCACATGTATCCTTACCCCCTACCAAAGCACCACTGACAGAGATTAAGACTTACGCCGCAGACCACAGCAGCAAGTCCTTGGGCTGTGTACGGATGGCTGCTTTAGTGAAGTTTTTGAGGATGTCTGGCAGCTGGGGAGGGATGTTGATTTGCTGGGCACAGTACATTGTGTCTGGAGGAGGCATGGCTGCAATATAAAATGTTGCAATATAGTCCAATTAGCAGATGAGATGTCTTGCAGATAGCAGATCTGAGAGAAATGAAAAATGGCATCTCGCTGGCCACTTAAAACCTTCCATAGTGAGAATAACCACACCATTACGACCATTAAATTAAATTCTGGTTGTCGCTGTTACACTAAGAAAGAGTAATATGGAGGTGAAGACAACGAAGGCAACATGTTTCAAAAAGATACAAGCTCAAAAACCTAAAGACATGTTCTCCTTTTAAAGAACTGCATGATAAAAAATAGAACTGTATGATATAAGGAGCCATGTTGGAAAATATCCCGTCCATACCACAGTGGATACATTTATCATCACAGTTATAGACCAAACTCTCCCTTAACATCTAATCAGCTGAGTCAGTTCCTTTATATAACCTTGTTGTGATTTTGTATGTATGTATGCACTCACTGGCCACTTTATTAGTTACACCTGTTCAACTGCTTGTTAACGTAAATAGCTAATCAGCCAATCCTGTGGCGGCAACTCAATGCATTTAGGCATGTAGACATGGTCAAGACGACCTGCTGAAGTTCAAGCCGAGCATTAGAATGGGGAAGAAAGGTGATTTAAGTGATTTTGAACGTGGCATGGTTGTTGGTGTCAGATGGGCTGATCTGCAGAAACTGCTGATCTACTGGGATTTTCATACACAACCATCTCTAGGGTTTACAGAGGATGGTCCCAAAAAGAGAAAATATCCAGTGAGTGGCAGTTCTCTGGGTGAAATTGTCTTGTTGATGCCCTAGGTCAGAGGAGAATGGCCAGACTGGTTCAAGATGATAGAAAGACAACAGAAACTCAAATAACCACTGGTTACAACCAAGGTCTGCAGAAGACCATCTCTGAACCAACAACACGTCCAACCTTGAAGCAGATGGGCTCCACACCAGGTGCCACTCCTGTCAGCTAACAACAGGTAACTGAGGCTACAGTTCACACAGGCTCACCAAAACTGGACAATAGAAGATTGGAAAAACGTTGCCTGGTCTGATGAGTCTGGATTTCTGCTGCCACATTCAGATGGTAGGGTCAGAATTTGGTGTAAACAACATGAAAGCATGGATCCATCCTGCCTTGTAACAACGGTTCAGGCTGCTGGTGGTGATGTAATGGTGTGGGGGATATTTTCTTGGCACACTTTGGGCTCCTTAGTACCAACTGAGCATGGTTTAAACACCACAGCCTACCTGAGTATTGATGCTGACCGTGTCCATCCCTTTATGACCACAGTGTACCCATCTTCTGATGGCTACTTCCAGCAGGATAACGCACCATGTCACAAAGCTCAAATCATCTCAAACTGGTTTCTGGAACATGACAATGAGTTCACTGTACTCCAATGGCATCCAAAGTCACAAGATCTCAATCCAATAGAGCAACTTTGGGATGTGGTGGAAAGGGAGATTCACATCATGGATGTGCAGCAACTGTGTGATGCTATCATGTCAATATGGACCCAGATCTCTGAGGAATGTTTCCAGCACCTTGTTGAATCTATACTATCCAGAATTAAGGCAGTTCTGAAGGCAAAATAGGTCCAACCTGGTACTAGCGAGGTGTACCTAATAAAGTGGCTGGTGAATGTATGTACATACAGTTTTGCATGTAGCTACCTATGTATACTTACGTGTATGTACATGAGAGGCCTGTATGTGTATGTAAGTGTATACATGTGTTTGTATGGACGCGTGTATATGTATATATTTTATCTATATATATGTATAATGCATAAATCGCATTTTCTGTGAATGATGTTCTTTGTATTTCACATTGTATGGTATTGTACTTTGAAGCACCTTGTAAGCCTGGTTTAGAAAAGCGCTAAAGAAATTAAGTTTATAATTATTAATTAATAATATATTATTAATTATTATTATTAGTAGTAGTAGTAGTAGTAGTAGTAGGCATACGCTGATTATTATATAAACGGATAATAAAACACAAAGTTCAAACCATGATGTGAGACACGAATAAAGTTAGCTAGGTTAACTAGGTTAGGTTAACTATCGTCATAGGCTATTGTTAGCGACCACAAACTAAGTTGACAAATGTTAGCAAAGAGCCAAAAGACATTTTTTCTGACTAACTATAACTATAAGAAGATTTTGTGCATTTTAAAATGTTACGTTACCTGAACTGTTGAACAATGAATGTGGACAAACAATGTTTAAACTCCAGGTGGCTCGGTTAGCTCAAATAACGTTATTAATGTTCAGCACTAACAGATACTCAACGACTAGTGTATTGTAGCATCGTCGCATAGCAACAGCGTTCTTCTTCGTTTGTTTTTTTAGAGCAGCTGGACTGCTGCGTGAAGTGCCATAGCGCCCCTTCTGATAACAATGACGAATTAATTTCGAGATAGATCGATAGATCGATAGATAGATAGATAGATAGATAGATAGATAGATAGATAGATACTTTATTAATCTCGAGGGACATTAATGCACCCAGTAGCTTTTTACACAACACAACGCATACAAAGACACAGATAGGCATAAAGTTAGAAAAATAGGTAAAAAGAATAAAAATGCAATGTCTAATACAGAGAGCTATTACTACAGTAGATATGCTCATGATGGTAGTGCAAATTTAGGTGTGTGACAGTGCAAAGTGAGGTGATTAAATTCAAGTCGAAGGGCAGAGCAGAAGTAATTAATACTTTGCTATAGGTGATATGAATAAATAAATAAATAAAAATAAATATATGTTCAAATACCAGTGCTGATTTTTTTTGTAGAGGTTGCTTAAAAGAAAAAATTAATGACTGTGTTTAATGAGGAATGGTGAAAAATATAAAATATAAGAAGTACATAAGGTTAAATATGAAATGCCACCAGAGGGCAAGTATCTAAATAAATATAAATGCAAACAGGGTGCATATTTAAAGGAAATGTAAATGCAAATTGTGCAATGTTAACATCAGTCCAGCAGCCTAAAGACAGGTGGGCAGGTGAGTATTCAGTCTGTTCCAACCTGCCGTCGCTGGAAGGAGTTGAATAGCCTTCTTGCCTGGGGGACTAAAGTCTATTGAGCAGGACTGGGAGAGAGGTCTACCACTGAACACACTCCTCTGCTCACTGAGTGTCGGGAATTGTCAAAGATGGACAGCAGTTTGTTGAGGGTCCTATTCTCTTTAACTGACCTAAGGGAGTCCAGCTCTGTGCATCGTGCTGCCACCACAGCATAGAACAGAATGCTGGTGACAACTGACTGGTAGAACATCTGCATCTATTACTGTGACTGTGTTACTGATTAAAGAAAGATAAAACTGAGGATAGTTTGACACCTTTGTGGAAGATGTGGTGACAATTATCTTCAACTGGTAGGCCTTACAATGCATACCTAAAAATTGCTAAGCAGATACCGTGCAATTTTTCCATAAGAACTATACTACACTAAATTTTTGAAACCTAGTCCACACAGCATCTCAAAAGGATAACTTGCCTGTAGAATGCCCAGGAACATGTAATTTAAACAGGCTATGACAGGGGTGTCCAAACTGTTTCAAATGGGAGCCAGATTAGATGTTAAAATAACCGTGGGCCTGCTACTTCTTGAATTATACAGGTTATTTAAAAAAAATAAAAGGTTTGCAGTCTGTTTATGAAAACTGTTTTAATTTGGTCTCCACAGTTCCTACTTGGTGCATGTCTACAAACTGTATGATGGTCTGTTGTGAGGTGAACTGAAAGAAAATGCAGTGTTCTTACTCAATTAACCCGTACTGTGCCGTGGGCCTCATGCAGTGTATTTTAAAAAAGCCGCAGGCCAGACTTTAGACATGCCCAGGCTAGGACAATGAAGAGTCTGTTGTGGACAGTAGCATGAAAGTGGTAAAAACTAGTGCAGCCATGAATGTGTCTTAATTTTCAGACTAAAGTTAGAACACTCCCAAATCAAATGACGCACATACGGACAAACACATGAGGAGAGACGTCATTCTGTGTCAGTACACACATTTATTGAAGTGATGCCACAGACAGGCATACATCATGTTGGAGATTTTATTATTAAACAGCTTCTTGAAAATACAGGTTTACACATACACTGTGATTAGAAAATAATCGTACAGTTACCAGTATTTGGTAACTGCACTGACATGGACATTTTTTTTTTAAAAAAAAAAAAAGCAGAATATTGCCCCAGTCACACCTGACACTCAAAATAAGTCAGCGACTATGATGGACAAGAGAGACAAATTCATACTTGTGCAATAAGCACACATGCACATTCACACAATCACTGTCAGGTCAGATACACTGGCAAGTGCAAATTTATTATAGCACATGTATAAGTTGCGTAGGTAGAATCTGCTCGTGAAGTCCCTTTCAGATTCCACTTACATTTAACGGGAGCAATGTGAAACAAACAGCACAGTGTTTCTGCTCCCGAGTTCTTACAATGGGGCAAACTAAATAAGTCTAAAAAGTAATTATTAAACAATGATAAGGATGGACTCTAGCAAAAACAACACAGGTTATGTGGACTAGATGATGGACTATCCCATGGTGCTAGTCCCATTTTTACCCCTCCCGAGTTTCATCTTCCTCTCTGCTTGATATAAAAATAAAACTGTGCTTCCCCCAAAAACCCACCCTGGACACTCATGTGCCTATAAAACTATCTAGGATCAGATAACACTCCTCGCTGACACCTCCAGGCAGGGACTACACTGTTCAGACCAACTGTTGCCTCCTAAGCTCCTTTCCCTTATCTCACCGCTCCCTGGACGAGACTTGAGCCAAGTCATCATTTGAGAGGCGTTCGAGTGCAGCTGGGCGACTGTGCACCACAATGGTGCCGACTGCACTCTCCACCTCAGAGCACAAAAACACATCGATCGTGTACAATATTCAGACGAAAGCAATTCCTCACAGATAAGTGAACGATTTGTTATTGACCCAGCTCTGTCCGTGGCTGGCATTCCCAAAAGCATTGTAGCGCTACGGATTATAGTGTGCAGGCAGCATTTTGAGTCAATGCAAGCAACTCATGTTTAACATTATCCAAACATCACTTTTAACCTTCCCATACACTCCCATGTCTACTGCATTGATTAGGAGTTCCCAAGTATTAATAAGGCCAAAATTATGTTAAGTGTTATTTTAAGCTGACAGGCAATATTAGTGGAAATATAGGAGGCAATTTGGAATCAATTAATTTCATCAAATCAGTGTAAGACAGTAAAAATACAGACCAATGTATGATAGAAAGATAATGCTTGTCTGCCAATGTTGTATATGCCTCCATGTGATTTTAAATGGATGATCCTTTGTTGCTGTGCTACAGTGGGTTCAATCCAAGCCCCAATGAGTTTCTTATGTAGTTCAATAATGATTATCATAGCACTTATATGCTTTTGGGAGACCAGGCCTTACCCACTACAAACCCCAAGCCGGTCAGCTGGTCAGTCACAGGGCTCTGTTTCTCCTCTCTTCTATCTCTTGCCCCTTTTATTACCAGCAGGGGGTTTCTTGAGCTGGAGAAGGGGCGCCGTGCCAAAGCTTGCCGCAGCTGGGTTAGACACGCCAAATGTCAGGCCGGCTGAGGGGTTGAGGCCGGGGTTACTGAAGTTAAAGCCTGAGCTGCTGCTGCTACCGAAACCTGGAAAAGCAAGAGACAGGGGACGCAGGACAAGAAAAGGAAGAGGAAATGTTAGAAAAAACAAAAGTAATGGAGCAAATAAAGGATAAAAATAAAGGATGTCCATATGAAACACAGATTCCAGCATTTGCTATGTTGTGAGGAGATTTTGTCCACCTGGTGTAAAACCCCATATCCCAAAATGTGCTGGCCAAACCGCCAGCACGCTTGCGTAAAAAGACTTACAAGACTATACAAGGATAATGTTGTCAACAAAGCCTTCTTACAGCAGAGAGGAAACTATCTGCACATTGCTCTGAGGAGCTTGACAATATGTATACAGGAGGTTTGTCCAGCTGCCTCTGATGACATATGCTCAGTATGTATGGATGTACCTGCACTCAGACTGCCTCCTGTGGGCTTACTGGCGGATGAGAAGGCAAAAGAAGACCCCCCAGTTCCCACCCCACCAAATCCTGGCCCACCACCAAAACCTGTGGGAGAGAGTGACATGGAAGTCAGTTTGGGCTCAGCACACAGCCTACACTAGGAAGTAATACATGGAGCAGAGGCTCAGGGGTACACACAGGCAGACACTGGCAAACATATATAGGTCACTCTGTGTCAAATAAGATAGACCTACAGTATAACCTTATGTATATGCTATTTGAGACCAAAAAACAAGTTCTGTAAAGTATATTTGGATGAATTTTGAGAATTGTATAATCGTTTTGCCACTGGGAGTGTTGTCATTTTCACCCCCGTTTAAAAAAAGTCTTTGGGCATGGTCACTAGGTGAGTAATGATCCATCGATCTGGATCAACATATTGATTCAATGATCAACCATCCAGTATCATCCATACAAAGTGAAAACATTGATCTATATCGTCATCTTTAGGATATGCTTTTTTCAGCTCAGTAATAAATGTTAAGGTTCACTGATATGTCATTTCTTTCTTGCTAGTCACCCATTATCAGCCCAAGCATTTTTACATTGCATAAGTTAGCTTAGCGGCTAGCAGACTTTCCTCCATTCATAACTTAATTAATTAGATGTTTTATTTACACTTCTTCTTACTCACCGTTGGTTTAAGTCACTGTATCTCCTGACAGAACAGCTTGGTTAAACTCCAGCCTACATGCACATTTTTTCAGCTCAACCTTGTTGAATCAGAGCAGCTAATCTTGCTGTAGTGGGAAGGCATTGTTTATGAACGGCATCTGTTGACCCTCTTTTTTCTCTGAAATCCAAATTATATCCACACTGTTGATTTATTCCCAAGTAAAAAACATTATCCTCATGGTCTTTTTCTTGACTGCCTACCATCTGCCTGCTGTTGTTTGATGGTGACGCAGACTTTCAAAATAAAAGCATATCCTCAAGATGACAATATAGATCGATGTTTTCACTTTGCATCGACGATACAGGAATGTTGATCACTGAATCGATATCTTAATCGGATCGATGGATCGTTACACCCCTGCTAACTTATCCCATGTGCTGTGTAACGTGCGTTTGTGGAGTCAGTTTAAAGTAAGTTTGCGGATATTCTCATTTATCCAGGTCAATTCCATTCTGGCAACAATTAAATCGTAGGCAACTGGACTTTGATTTTGTCTAGAAGACGTTTCGCCTCTTATCCAAGCGGCTTCATCAGTTCACAACGCATCAGTCTGACTAGTCCTCACAAGTCGGACAAACAGTGGAGTAAGACTCAGGTTTTTAACCTCTGTGGAGGTGTACACCCACCACCCTCATAAGACAATACTTCGTTAGTGGAGTTTCACTGGACCATTGTTTGGGTCAGGTGAGTCACACTAGTGAACGACGGTCGTTAGGAGTGGGTGGGGCCACTGGTGAGCAACAGTCGTTAGGCATGATGTGTGGTTACCAGTGAACGACTGTCGTTGTGTTTCTTTGAGCCACTTGAGGTTAGTTTCGGGCAGTCTTTGTTGTTCAATCTCTTAAGTACAGCAGCAAGGGCCGCATTGTAAATGGGGGATAGGTGGTGTCTCAGGCCACCTCCCCTGGTAAGTATTGTCTTATGAGGGTGGTGGGTGTACACCTCCACAGATGTTAAAAACCTGAGTCTTACTCCACTGTTTGTCAGACTAGTGAGGACTTGTCAGACTGATGCGTTGAGAACTGATAAAGTCGCTTGGATAAGAGGCGAAACGTCTTCTAGACAAAATCAAAGTCCAGTTGCCTACGATTTAATTGTTGCCAGAAAGTTTAAAGTAAACTTCACTGCACTTAAGCGGTTACAGTTATTTACATTATTTATGTGTTGTTTTTATCTTTTATAGCCAGAAGCAAAAAGAAAGGGATGGCAGCTTCTTCTGAAGTTAACTGTAGTAAATGGGCAGATGATATCATCTCATATCGACCGCAGGCCCCAAATCACATCAAAATCGTATCGTGGCAGACTTTGTAATATTGACAAATATCGTATCGTTGTCCAAAAAATCAATATGATATTGTATCTTGATGTAACTGGTGATTTACACAACTAAAAGGCAAGTGTGACATCAAAATCAGCAAATATGCACCTCTTTTTCATTTCAATTCACTGTGAATGAAGAGAAGAGAAGTGGCAGGTCCACATCGCCATTTTGACATTTCAAAAAGGCATCGAATTGCAACCCTGGTTTGTGGTACTTGCCATATATCAGATTCTGTTTATGTGAGAGCCCCTGAAATTTGGGGCAACATCAATCAAATACTGTGTTTTTGCTAAAGTGTGGAAACATCGATATGTGCATAGCTTGGAGGACTCTCTCTTTTTTACGTTTTCAAGGGCCAGTAATGAAAAAAATGACATCTGCTTGTGCCTTTCAATCATTTGGATTTGGTGTATATTGTGTATATTGTTTTGTCTGTGCTCCTACCAAATGTCAAGGCCGTCTGGGTAATATTTCTCAAGACACTGAAAAAATGACTTCCTACAGAAGACATTTTTTAAGGGTGTTGAAACTAGAGGGGGGAAAAACATATTACAGAATTAATTTTTTTTTCTATCAAATAGCACATCCATAAAGTCTGAGTAAATATCTAGAATGTACACAAAGCCTCTGATTTGACATGGAATGACCCATATGTAAAACTAATGCCATAACCTAATCAACAGAGGACACTACGCAGAGCTGAACTTCTGACTGAGGCTGCAGAACAAGTAAGAAGTCACAGTGCACTGCACGGCAAAGCAAAGGCCAAGGGGAGGAAAAAAACAACACGAAAAGAGTTTACCAAACACACCAACTACAGGAGAACACACCAACCTGTTGTGCGTTCAGACCACTTAATCCCACACTGCCAAATCGCTTTTAACTGGCTGTTGTGGCCAAGTGGATTTGCCAGTTTACATCCAAAGGTAGAACATGACTAGTGAATTCCTTTGGCCACATTTCTCCTCATTAAGGACCAAAAACTGTAAAGGTACAGAGACCTGTGGCAAGTGTTGCTCAGTTTTCTCGTGGTGTGAACGCACTTGACCTCTTGCGCAGGGAAGAACAGAAAATAAAAATCACTGCCAAGCTTAAACTGCACCACTCTCTCTCAGACACATACACACGGCCTACTGCTGCTTTCATACAGGGGAACACAAAAACCTCAAAGAAAAAGGCTGCTGAGCAAAAGCTAGGAGGCATTAGCGAAAACAGTAAGGGAAGGGCAAAACTAAAGGGAATATTCAATTTTTTAAAAAAAGGCAGAGGTAATACCTCCAAGGGTAGAAGAGCCCAAGCTAGTGCCCACTGCCGAGGCAAAGGGGTTTCCAAACCCTGCCCCCAAGGGTGCCTGGGTCCCTATGGCAGAGAGAGAGCATACGCTTTACTCCTCTGAATGCATTTGATGTGTGTGAGGTAAATTACGTTCATTGTACATGTGCATTCACTCTGACAGGGACACATTATATATGTTGTGACCTGCACTACTGCCACATAAAACGGACTCTGTCTCATCAAAAAGCTTAAAATTGCAGGTTTTTAATAACCTGGTTTTTACAGTTTTTGAATGCATCCGTAAAAACAGAGTGTATGCAACAGATTGTGTAACACTGTGGTGTGTTTGTAGGGACATCACAACATTGCAGCAGTTCTGTAACTTCTCTATACAACCCTCACATGGTGCTTTAAAGATACAACACTACAGTTTAACTGCAGGATCAGAAGATGCACAGTGTTTTTACAACTGCAACACACTAATATATGTGCTATTGTACTTTATAAATATTCTTAGAGAAGGTTTGGAGTTCTTGTTGTTGACAAACTGTGGCAAAAAATGCTGCTAGTTCTTTCACTCAGAAACTTGTCCTTTTTTTCCTCTATGCATTTTTTTATGTATTCAAATTTTGTAAGGCGTCCAATTAGTCTGCACGGCTACATCATCTTCAGTCGAAAAAGAAACAAGGACAAACGTTTCTTTGTTTAGAAATGGATTTATTTTCAATTTAATATGCAATTCCACTTACATAAAACACAAACAAACAGTTTCGAACAGAATTGATTGTTAATTGCTAACTGCTACTGCATTTGACAAGTTTCCAAATTTTCAAGATTTCTGAGAGTGAATGAACTAGCATACGCCAAAAAGGAAAAAAATGCATCATCACACAATTATTGAATATAGCTTAAAAGGCACACCATATTATATATTAAATATACTGTATCAACAGGCATTGGTTATATAAGTTTGAACACATTCATCTACAAGTAAAAGCACTCGAGATTTTAGATAAGAAAATGTGAATTTGGCATCTACGGCTGCCTCTCAGTGTAAACTGGTCAAAATAAAGGAAACTCAGTGATATGTTACAGTTTGCCTGTGGAAGTCAGTGTGGTCAAGTTTCGGGCCATTCATCCTACAAGGATTGAATGACCTTCGCGATTTGTGTTTGAACACTTTTCACCAGTGTGTTCTTGGACATAGTAACAGCCAGATTCTAAAAACAAAAGCTGCACCTTGGATTAATTTACATATGATTACAGGCTACAAACACTTTTCTCGTTTGGATGAAGTCTGACTTAGCTGAGGCGACAGGTTAACATACTGTAAGAGATTCAGTCTTGTTATCAAATGTATAGCTTGTCAAAGATCACAAACACCCCCTAAAACACAACCTGTAATGCGGAATTTATACTTTTGCGTCGACATGTAGCCTACACCATGACCTACGCCGTAGCCTGACGTGCACCTCCCTAGAAATGTTAACTATGTGTTGCAGCGACGCAGACCTCCTGTCTATTTCTGTAAGCTGAAACCATTTCCCTCAGTTTAAGTTTTTATTCACTTTTATTTCACAGATAAGAGACAATAAATTGTGAAAACAATAAAGCCTCCACAAAAATAGCATTTTAAGTCTCTTGTGTAATCTATCCTTCAGGGATTCATACTTCATAAGAGCAGAGGAAATCTCCACTTGTCGCTAGGCTAATATATACAATGTAAAATGCCATAGGCTTGTGCTAATAACGTTAGCATGTTACATCTGTTTGAAAAACGTGTTTACTATGAGACAGTTATTTTGTCGATGAACCTTGTGAGTTGTGGTCGAGCCAAATTATGTACCTTTACCTTTGTGAAATGGTTTTATATGAGAAGAGGAAACAATCGCTAGCTGCTAGGCTAATTTATACAATGTAAAATGCCATAGGCTTGTGCTAATGACATTAGCATGTTCTATGTGTGGGGAAAATGTGTCCGGATTAACACTTAACACATTAAGTGTTTGGCTGTGAATGCTGCGAGTTATAGTGAAGCCAATTTGTGTACTTGTGTTTGAAAGTGTCTCTATTAAGCCATGTTTAATGTGTTTTTGGTGTGTTATGTATCAACTAAACTTCACAGCACTTCACAGAAACCCTGCTGCCAACTAGTGTGTTGGAGGTGTAACTGCAGGGTGACACAGACACACCACTGCACAAGTATAAATTCTCACAACGGTGATGCACGTAGGCTACGGCGCAGGGTCTGCCGCACAACTATAAATCCCGCTTAATAGTAGTACCTCCTAGAAGCCACACACAGAAAAAAGCCACTACAAAAAAAGCATAATGTGAGAAGGAAAAAGGAAATGATGAAGACAACAACATTCAAAACAGTCTGTGACAGCCAACAACTCAAAACACCAGACTCTCTGATTTTTGACTAATCGGGCCCAAGTGAGGGAACTGCTGTGCTGAAGATGAACATCACAGAAAAAGTAAGATACCATATACACAATTCTGAATCATTAATGAGTTTCAGAGTAACTCACGTTAAGTTGAGCACTGTCGGCATGTTGTGGTGTGGAGCAATAATGTGCCAGCCACCCCAAAAAATAAAAATTCACATTTTAATTCCTTCACTCAAAAATAAAAAAGAGGTAAGTGGGATCACCCCTGCTGTTGGCATTCAAGAAAATACAGCAGTCAGCATTTGCATACATATCACTGACAGATATTGAGGAGACACCCAACATACAGGAATAAGGTGGCTAAATATCCACTCTCACCTTCTAGGTCCAAACAGCTTTGACAGACCAATAATTATGACATAATTTAATAGCCATTATTTTGCCTGTAGAGATGTGGAAGACAATATTTTGAAGTGTAAGCTAAATTACACAAAAATTCTGGACAACTTGGGAATCTGGATAAAAGACAAAGATGTCCAGCTCTTCCTAAAACTGCATCTCAATCCTTCAAAAAAATTTAGAGTTGTGTAGCAGAGGACTGGAATGTCCAAAGCAGCGGTTTCTTTCCTAACACGCAGCAGCTCCTTTAAGAATCAATTAGGTTCACCGAGCACCACTGTGACTAGCAGCAATATACAGGAGAGTGCTGGAGAGTGAACTGACCGGTTTATATCAGAACACATCACATAGTGTCACTTTCCTCACTCAAGTGCCAAAAAATGCTATGCTCTCACAGGTATCTCAATCAATATGACTCAATATCAAGCAAGACTGTCTTTTTATCACTCAATAAAGAGACGTCTGACCACACTGATCTGTCTGTTTCGTTTGGCACCCATGTGTGTTACTGGTACTGAAGGACCAGCGTGAGCAGCAAAAACTTTATTCTCCTCTGAACTTCCGAACAAGCTTGACTCAATCAATGAAATCAAACAAACGGGAAAGTCGACTTTCCACACAAGTTTTGGCAAACATCGATTCGACATCGAACCACTAACCTTGAATAAAATACCTGAAATTACAACTTGTTAACAGCACTTTTTCTCTACATTTACATTGAACTGAAGTTAAAGTGAAAATGATCCAGCCCTGTAACACTGACAGTAGCCCTTAGGTGAAAGAGTTGAAATCAAGTAACAGTGGTATGGCTGCATACAACCAAACCAATCAAATGCAGTGTTTAACAGTGAATTAATGCAGACTATTTTTGCCATATTCTAAATGAACCTTCGACACAAGTGACCGGCTTTTTTCACAACACTTGATTGTATACAAACACACTGAGCACACCGATTCGTTCATGTAGGCCAGAAATAAGTGACAAAGACCGCGGCTATTTCAGAAGGTCACCAGCTTATCTCCACTTTAAGACAGAGCGAGTGCGGTAATGGAAAGACAATATCTTAGTTTAAATTACAGTTCAGGTAATTAAATAGTTTATAGTTTCAGTCCTGAGTCTTTTGGCACCTTTCACCTTACACCCACCGAGGCACAAATCTGAACAAGCTTTTGGCCTACACAATAAATCACCGCACCGACAAATACACGGGTCAAAGAAGAACCTGCCTGAAAGTAAGCGCCACCAGCTGTTTGTTAGTGTTGGAAGTGCTGTGATACTGGCCGACTGCCACTATGCCATTCCAATTTCAGACTTAGTTACACACATAAACAAAAAATAAAATTAAAATAAATAGGTAAATAAATACTGACGAGACCAAAAAACACTTGTAATTAGGCTTGTGAATAATCACTATTTGGCAATAGGGATGGGAAATTTGCTAAATATTATCACTAGCATTAAAAAAAAAAAAACACACACACACACACAAAAAAAACGCAATCTTGTAACCTAGTACCCAACTGTGGGGTTTACACACTAGCAAAGCGATGAGTTAGTTACAGCTCAGTGCAGCTTTTAAGACTGCTAGCACACCCACATCACACAGGATTACAATAAACAAATGATCAAACAAAAATGATCGGAAAGTTTTGACTGTATATGAAATAAAAAATGGAGCAAAACACACAAAAAATCTTAAGCAGGCACCGAGGGAGTGCGCATGTCTACCACACAAGTGGATTTTGCCTACTGTTGTAATGGGGCTTGTTTGTGAAGGCCTTTTAAGTGGGGTAAGTAACGGATCGGTAAAATATTCCCATCCCTACTTGACGCTTATTCATAGTAGCTTCTGCGCATATTAAGAGATCAAAGGTATGTAAAAGTCCAAATATTAGCACACTGAAATATGAGACACATTCACTGTCCAGGTAACAATTAATGATTTGTGGATCTGATACAGTCTGAGCAGATTTGTTTTTTTGTAAAAAGGAGGCAGCAGAAATTCGCAAATGAAACTCGAGCTGAAGTTTCCATTACTCGCCATGTGAGATATTTTTAAACCATGCTGCCTTTGCAACCCCATCCAATTAAAATATTGCTTTTAAACGTTTGAATTACATCTTTACTGCGAGGAAAAAAAGGACAGCAGGAGCATGCTAATATAAACAGTAGCTTAGTTTGTTCATAGTAAGTGAGTGCCCTGATATGCCAGTAAAATGGCCTACAAACCAAAGCCTACAAAAAAGGCTGAACATTTGTTTAACACCTCTGAGATGTGACTACAACCATGATGGACACTACTCTTAACATAGTTGTAAAATGTTTGATAAAAGTGAATTTGTGTGCCACATATTGAGTGCTGGCGTGAGTGAAACTATATGACCTGCTTGATTAGGTTTTATAGCTTTAGTGTACGGGTTTACGGGCGTAAATTTTGGGATACATGTCACCCAGCCCTACAAAGTTTCAAATTCGCCAACACCTCTGACGCCAAACTGTGAGTTAGCAGTACGTGTAATAAAAAGATCAGTCTTCACCTGTCTGCTTATGCTGGATATTAATACTGTGTAGAATAAATGTTACAAATATATTTGTTTTTACTGGCAGAATATGGAAAGAATTCATTGTGGTGTGACAGTAAACACTTAAGGAATATATCTTACTTTTATCAATAAATTTGGACCTTTTTTTCAAATACAACATGATGTCAGCCTTTAGATTGAGTATGTTGAGTATAGTTACTACAAAATGTGGGCCTTGGCCTAAACTGGTAAGACCCTGAACAAGAGAAGCTGCATGCTTCACTGAACGACAATAATACAATCTTCCTATAAATTCTGTTCTTATAAATGTTAGCTAATGCCATTTGGCGTCTGATCAATCGGAGCTTCCCTACATCGAAGACAGTCAAACTGAAGAGAGTAGGAGCTACATTATAATAAATTAAACACCAACCTGTCACTCAGACACAATCTTAAAAACAAAACGACAGACGTCTGAATGCCTACTCGTTCTGAGAATATGCTAAGTATATATAAATCACACAGCAAGTGTCTAATGCGTCTAACCCCATCACGAAACAACCTTCATCGAGTGAGCTCACTTCCAAGAACCCACTGAACAAGTCCTGACTCAAAATTTAGAAGCTAATTGTAACTTCAAAATTCAAGTGAGTAAAATTGATGGACTTTCTCTCGCATTATATCATGTCTTCAATAATGTCTGCCTCATGTACCTGCTCTAACATCCCACCCAATTAGAGAGGACACAGAGAGAATTAGGTGACGTGAGTTATTATATCCTTGGTATTACTGAAAGTGTTTGTATGAGATGGTAAGGCAGCACAAAGGTTTCCTGTCGGAGCTTAGCAACAGATTTCTCTTATCTCTGCCTGTCTCCCTCGTTCTTTAGTCAAAGTACAGACACAATAGCTTGGCACCAGCTAAGGCTTTTCTTTTATTTTTATTATTTCCGATAATTCTCTCTGTCCCCCCTTTTGACCTTTCCACTCCCACAATTGCCTCACTTTAAAAACACAATTATCCTGTCCTCTCCAAAAACATGTGTCTCTCCTCTACCTCCTTTATTACATGGTGAGAAAAAGGAGAACTTTCTAGAACTTGTAGGCAGTCAGACCTGGAGTTGGCTGCTGTTGCTGGGTCAACGTGGCTGCCATGGCAACCGCTGCAGCGTTGGGCACACTGGAAAACGGGGCGGGTCCGGTCGTGACTCGCGGCGTATTCTGCCACTTCCTGTTCGACGCCCGTTTGGACTCAAAGACGTCTGTAGAGTCTTCCAGGAAGGCCCGGCGGTAGGAGAGGTACTGGTGCTTCAAAATCTGTCATGTCAGACATTAACAAAAGGGATAGAACAAAATAGGACAGAAAGAAAAGGAATTTACATGTTATTCGCACATTTTAATTACAATTTATTTTGTATCTTGACAATGTGTTTAACATAATTCTGAGGCATTTTATCTGGTCTGCTTGTACATGCTGCTGTGAGAACTCGAACCATCTCTAGGCAATTATACAACTTTGTAACACAATTAGTCCTTCATTCAGACCAAAGCAAACGAACTCTAGGTCTGAAAGCACCCTTAGACATCATTAAACACATTTTCAAAACAATCAAAGTTGATATTAATTTTCAGCAAAGCGGGAGGAAAAGACCTGACCTTGACATTCTCATGGACAGACTGGAGCTGGGCAGCCTGCGCAACAAACGTCTGGTACAACTTCTGCATGGCCATGGTCAGGTCTGGAAACAAGAACATACACATCATAATCCTAGTGCACATTTAAGGTGAGTTAATGAAAAGATGACGGGTTGTGTTAAAAGTCAGACATTTCTTCTTCCTCTTACCCTGAGGAGTGATGTGGGAGCCACTGCTCTGCGTCGTCAGGTGGTTCTCCAGTTCTTCTATCTGCTGTCGGTACTGCTGCAGCTGCACCTCAAACTGCTCTACCAGGCTACGGAAATAACTACACACAGAAAAATTACACATATTTTTACCTTTGTCAGATTCATGAAGTGATAAAAGCTGATTTATACAACAGTTAGTTCCGGCCCTGCAATCTGATTGGTCGAGAGACAGTAAAACCGTGATGATATTGGAGTACAACATCACGGTTATTTCACTGTGCATGTATCATTCCGCCTCACAGCTGACTGCAATCAACAATCAAATCAAAACTGACGGTTAGTGTCAGTTAGGTCAGCAGTTGCGTTGCAGGCTGATTAATTCATCCACTGTCAAACAGCCAAAAATATGGATTTATTTCCTAAAATAAGTTTTGAATTGAACTATGAATGGTCATCAGAGGAAGATGAGGGAGAGGAGAAGTTGAATCCATCTGAGCACACATCCAGGTTTGTCAGTCGAATATATGAAATGTGCCTTTAACATGATGTATACTGTGCCGCTTAACAGCAACATCATCAAGCAGCGCTTGTTAAGATTTGTCTGTTGAGAGCGCACCCAAACGCTGGTCGGACTACACCTAAGTGCTACCGCTTTCCTTTATGTATCTCAACACAACAGTAATGGTTGTAAATACGTGTGGCAACTATTGTGTTCATGTGTGGAATTGTAGTAGCCGTACAACCGGGCTTGGTAAGGTTGGAGTGTTTTAAGTGGACGTAAAAATAAACAACGAGCATTTGTGAAATCCCACACGTGTGTGAAAGTGAGTTTCTGCCTGTCCTCTAACTCCAAAGAGCTACACGGACCCAAAACCATTACACAGTGTTTTATCAGCGGAGCTCAATAACTTGGAGAAAAGCAACATACTGTCAGATCAGAAGGCAGAGTAGGCTGTGCCTGTGAAGTGACAGTCCACCATACAGTCACCAGAGACTTATTTCACCGGCTGCACAATTAATGGAAACGTGCAGATAAATGTGTATAAAGAGTAAGTGCCTGGCGCACCATGTCTGCGTTACATAGCAACGGTGACAGTGGAGTCCTGAGGGAACTATTTTTGTTGGCGGAAGACAAATAAAATGCTTAAATTATCTATTTTGTCCTCATTTTTCAACATTTCTTAATCAGCCTTGCTTATTTAACTGTTGAACTGTTGAGGCCTGCGGCCTCGTGCCTACGACCAAATCACAGCCGTGACGATATCACAGTACAACATCACTCCCTCACGTGTGATATTGCTTAAATGTAGAAAACAACTCAGAGACTAGTGACAACGGCTACATTGGCTCAACAGGTCAGGAAGCTGCCACTACTGCAGTCTGAACATCCGCACATCCCCTTTTGATTTACTTCAGGGCTGCTATCCCGTAGCTCACTTACTCTGATGGAGCTGTGTTCTCATGCTGAAGTCCAGGGGGAGTCTTTTGTGTACGCAGTGCTATGTCAGCATTTTTCAGCTCCTTGAGAACAGAGGAAAAGAGGAGAGTAAAAACACACATCAGAGGATGCCATCTCTTTCTTGGCGAGCATTTTCCACTTTCTCAGCTCACGAGGTGTGAGTAGCAGATACAGTCAACAACCTTGACAACTAAGCTCCTGTCGTTTCAAGTCCCATTTGCTAGAGCCAGATTGATCTATAGCTTTACATTAAAAAAAGCTCCACTTATCCATCTTAATATAGAATGAGATTAAAAGTAGTGTCTCCACTGAAAAGACCAACTGTCGTGTACTTCCTCACTGGATTTGAGAAAGTCGTGTTTATTCTGATGTATGCTCATATTGACAATGAATCTATCACTGTATAAGATTTGTGCATCAAGACTAAAGAGACTTGCATTAACATATAACTTCTCACTCTAAGGCTTGTGTGTGCAGATGTACCTGTGCTGTCTCCAGCTTTAGCTTGTCGATGGCGAGAGCTTGGCGCTGCAGCCCGCTGGCACTGACCGAGAGAAGCTGTTTGAGGCTCTTGATGTCATCCTGGACTTTAGAAATAGCCTTTGATGACATCCTACTGATGTCCTCTTGAACCTGTTTCTGGTCTTTAACAAATTTTCTATGAAACAGAGACAGAAATAAAGTTATTCAATGAAACAAAATACTTTCCAGCAATAAATCATGAGTGCACTAGTACCAGGATGAGTGTTGGATTCTGAATTTTACATATTATAATTTTACACCAAATTTGATTGCTTTTGGAGTACACAGCCACCTTTGACCTCAATTTATAGCTTTATGACTCCATGATCTATCTAGCCATGTTCACAACACACAGCCCAATTAAGTGACTTCCCCTTTGGAACAATAAGGCCACTGATGAAACTGGTTAGCATTTGCATCTTTAAACAAATAACACAATTCTACTGAGCAATGTGCCCAGGCTTATGACCCAATAGTCACTGGATCTAATCCTGTGACAATATATGCACACACAACAGCACTTACTGGAAATTCTCGACATCCTGACAAATAACTGGGGGCAGGTTCTCATCTTTCAAAGCTTTACTGTCCCTGAGGGAGAGAAAGAGAGTGTTTTTCATCATTACAGCAAAATGAATATGGCATTTCTGGACCGTTCTAGCATTTCAAAATAGTAAAAAAAACCATAATGTGTGTTGTTCAACGGGACTTACTGTGCAGTGGCTCCAGATGATGTGTCGCTCTTGCTCTCAGAGGAAGTGCTGAAGTCGACACCGCCCAGGCCGATACTGGGGGCAGGTGCCGCTGATGTTGCTGTGGAGGTAGCTAAAAGAGAACCCAACGTTAACCCGCCTCCGCCTCCAAGAGTGGTCTGACCCAAACCTGCAACACCAAGTAAACATAGAAGTTAGAATGTTAGACTGTGCAACAATGTGCAGATAGAGAACTCCACTGTAGTATAACAATTTAAAACATTGATGTTCTCAATGAAATCAGAAGTAAGCACTATGCAAAGGTCACCACTACATTGCTTACCCACTGACCAAAAACTACAAAACCCCGACGTTATCATCAGTTTATCTATGCCAACATTACTTTTTATTGCCTTTATACACAAATCTTGCTTTATATAAATAATATAGCAACATTTTGCTGTAATACTGAGCTCTCAGTACAGTGTCAGCACATGCAAACAAGCTCAGGTTGTATGTTTGCATCTCACCTGTAGACAAAGTGTTGGAGAAGCAACTTGCACCCAGTGATGGGCCTGTTGAGGCAGCTGTGGTGGCTGTTGAGCTACCAAGACCGAGGGTGAAGCCTGCTGCTGCAGGCTGCTGTGGAGCTGTGGACGTCAGGACAGAGCCAAATGATAACCCTGCAGGGGCTGATGAGGAGGTGGAAGCTGTGGTGAGGGAAAAGGGTGTTGCTGAGGCGGTGGGCTTATTGAAGGCCAAGCTGAATCCAGTGGACGCAGCTGTAGAAGCTGGGGCACCTAGGCGAAAACAGAAATCAAACTTATAAGCTGTTGTCATTAACCTTCCAACAGTTTACTTTGAAAATATACCAGAAACACAAACATACCTAATGTAAGGCCTGTAGTGGGTGCAGCAGCGCCTGAGGGAGAACAACATCACAACATGAGACAAGATGTATAGCTGCAGCTGGTAGACATGTTAATTACAATAGTTTCTGTAACTGTGTGACATATTACTTGAGGCAGGTGTGTTAAAAGAGAATCCTGTAGTAGGTTTCTGACCAAAAAGACTGCCTCCTAAACCGAGAGACGGGGTGGTGCTGGTGGTGGCGGCGGCAGCAGGGGTTGCAGCTGCTGTGCCTAGAGCAGTCCCGATAGAGAAGCCACCAGTGTTGGCTGCAGGCGCACTGATGGGACAAGAAGCAGTAAATTCAGTCACATGTAATCACAGTTCCTTCATGATACCAGAGTCAAGTAGCAAGATGGGAAGTGAGGGATAATCTGTCATTGTCACAGAAATGCAAACTGGTTTTTGTTAATAGAACTTAGTTAAAATACTCCATAGGGAGATGTCAGTTTCAAGGACATGCACTCCCACTTTTACCTAACACATCTTACTTTTAACATGTACACCAAGAACTATAGATTATCAGGAAAACCTGCAGTCTGCAAACCTGGTGATCAAAGTGAAAGCTATGATACGTCAGTTTCTAGTTTCAATTTGCTTATCAGAACAAGCCACAAGCACTCAGCGGACACAACAGAACTTTGAACTTTGATAACGTAACATTACACCATATAACAATTCCCCATTTCATATGAATTTTTGCTTTTCACAAAAGTATGTACCTTTAACAATAACGTGCAAATCTCAGACGTTACTACAAAAGTCATGCAAGTTACCTGATAACGTGTGGCTATGCTAACGTTAGCAAGGTTTGCTATTTGAAATATATTGTTAACGTTACCTGGCTGCGCCCCCAAATGAGAATCCCCCACCGGTGCTGGTGGCTCCAAGAGTCCCTGATCCAAAGTTAAAGCCGGACATTTTGTCTCAAGAGGCACACATTTAATACCAACTGGCGACTGGACTCAAGCCACTCATGAAGACAGTCAGCCCAGCATCTTAGCTAACACGCTAGTTAGCTTTGAAAGATGCCCGCGTGAGGGCCAAGTCCGCGGTCTTGCCGTTACTCAAAAGCAAAGAAAAAGCCGTTTTTTTCCGAATAACGGTTAATGATAAGTCCGTCTTGTTTTGTTTTAGCACCCCTTACTTTTAGATATTGTTAAAGCTGACAAATATCACGCGGTGACTTCTCGCATGGTGCTACTTTTCTTATTCCCCGCCTGGTATTTCCCGACTGCGATTGCATTTCGGGTAATCGCTGTATGAACTATGTTTCCCGTCGTCCCTATCACTGTTTTTTTTGCATCGCGTGACGCCTCACACATGCGCAAGGTGCCAGCTGTACTGCTGGCGGACGTTTACTCCGGCCTCGCTTTCAAAATAAAAGACGCCACTTACAGAATGCAAGATAACGGTTGATGCATGGGTCAGGCAACATTTATGTATTTGCAGAGTATTCAAACACTGTCTACACAATGGTGTTTCACTTACACACTCTTTTTTTTGTGTTTTGCCTCATATAACCTTTTGCATTATATCCATCATTGCTCCATTTCATTTTTTGGAATGATTTCTATATTTTTATTTCATTGGTTTTACCTTTCTTTGTCATTTCTCTCTCTGTTGTGTTTCAAGCTACATACAAAATAATACTGCATAAATATATCATGATTTACATTGCTGTATCTTAATGTCATTACAATTAATTGATGACACTGGCCAATTTCATTCTCTTATGACTCTGTTTCTTGCTATATGTACCCCCATGCAATTTGTTGGGCATTTGTCTGATTATTAATATATTAATACAATCATATATATATATATATATATAATTTTTATGCTTTTACTTTCTATTTATGCCTCGTGCTCGTGTCGTTAAAAATCCCTCTTGATTTTATGATTTATAGTTTTACAATATAATTTTCAGAATCACTTCTATTTTATGTTTATTCTGTCTATTTTCATGTGAAGCACTCAGGGCTAATAATGCCCTTATTGTAAAGCACTTTGTGCTGCATTTCTTGTATAAAAGGTGCTATATAAATAACTTTTATTATTATTATTAATAATAATAACATACCGTAAATGTTTGTATTTGAATTTTGTACAATAAATTAAATACATAAAAAATATTACCTTAGTCAAGGCTGGATTACCAACAGGCCACGTGGGCCTGCAATAACAGAATATTATGAAATGAAATAATAGGGGACCTTGTGGCAACATCTATCTTGAGACCCCATTTAGACCTAAATAAAGATTTCATTTAAAGGCTTTTATTATCTCAGTAAATATTGTGCATTTATGGTGCACTTCAGTAAAGTTCTGCATAATCAAGAACAAACTACTCCGTTGAGGACACAGATCAAATGTGGTTGCAATGCATAATAATCTGACTTGATTACATTTCAAGAATAGATTACCATACTCATGACTAGTATCACTAGTATCATCTATAGTACTCATCAGAAATATCTGGTAAATAACTATAGTTTTATTTTTTTAAAAATCATATAGTTCAGATAGACATGACTACCCTACAAGACATGCTACAAGAGGAAGCTTTGTGTTACCAACAGTTAGAACAAACTCAGTCAAATGTACAGTAACATACAGAAGTGCGCATGAATGGAATCCACTCCCTTGACATATCACACAGGTAAACAATAAAGCTAGATTTAAAATTCTGTTAAAGCAGCACCTTCTGATTAAGACTTAGATAATCCATAAAACAGACAAAAGTATAGTTGTCAAAGCCATTAGGCTTTGACAACTATACTTTTAATTAATATCAAAGGTAAGTCTGACTGTGTCAAGTGTCTCAGGATTTTGTTTGTGGTACAGTGATGGTTTTCTGTTAGTATGCTAATCATAGTTTTGTTTTCCAAATGAGAATACAATAAAAGGTGACTTATATAAAATGATTCATACACTGTAATGAACTTCATGCATGGTAAAAAAAATATTGTTTTTCCTGGGAACTGTTCCTTTTTATGCATATGTAATGTGTGCATGGAAACATATACATTTTAATGTATAGTATTGTGTAAAAACTTGGTCTAATATTACAATAATGGAGTATCATCAAATAATCAGAACAAAATTTAGCCACAAACTTACCAAAAGAAATCATGAAAAGTATATATCTTAATGATTAAGCTATGTCAATATTTTTAGTCTAGTCCTGTTATTTTTTAAGTGTTACGTGTGAGCTAAGTTATTTCGTATACTAAATTAAACTAAACTAATACATACACAATTTTAAGAGTGGAATAAATTCCTGACCAATCTCATCTCCGGAAACCCGTGCTTTTATTTTGAAAAGCGTGCGACGTGAACTGTTGACGTGATTGCCAGGACCTTTACGCGGATGGAGGAGTAAAATAATTGACAATAAACATATATCGTATGCCTCCGACAAAGTCCAGGCGGTTTGCGGAGCACTTTGAGCCAACAAAATTATCCATGATACAGTTATCTCCGGAAGGCGTCGTGTGAAGCTTCCGCCGCCGCTGACAGCTGTTGGGACCCGGAGAAATGGAGCATATCCGAACGCCGAAGGTAGCTAACATTTCTAGCTAATTGCAAATGGATGGGACACAGTCAGCGGCTCGGCCTGTCTGCTGGGGACTTCTGCAGTACTGCTCGAGTGTGGCTACGTCTACCAATGTTTAGACTAAGTGTTTGTGGAGCTAGTAGCATTGTGGCTGGCAGGTGTCGCGAGCAGCTTCAAGTGTCAGACGTGACGAGCATCAGTGAGATGTTTGTTTTCCCCGTACGGCAGATGGCTGGGCTTCCTCCTTAATAACGTTACTACCTGCACGCCCTGTTATTGATTGAGCTAACGTTACACTATCAAGCTGGGCAGTGCACCCAGTGTGACAAAACACAAAGCCATACTTAAGCATGATTGCATAATAATGGACGTAACAGACACACAGGGCTGACTGCATGTCAGTGTGATCACACCCAGGCTGATCATTGCAGGACTTGCTGTTCTTTTTATATGTCTCACTCATAGTTTTATTATCTGGGCAGCCACCCTAAACATGCAGGATTGGGATATACCAATTTTGACTATTGCTTAACTCTCATACCACTCATTGAAGACCAGACTCAAGGCAAAAGCCCTCAAACAACCAAGAGGTGAAGATCAACACAGAGCAGGCCCTGCAGAGCTGAAAGACACCAAGTTGCTTCTGGTGTCTGGGTTATATACTTCATTACAACCAGATATGACTATGTAATGTCCCATAACGTTGAGGGATTGTGTATTAAAAGGGCTAGCTGCGAGTCAGACAACACTTTACCCCCTAAAAGTTTAGTTAAAATCCAGTATGCTGGACTACTAAGGCGATAGATTGCACCATGTATGGTTTCAACCACTCAAATCTACCCTTTGGAACATGCTTCAGGCCCACACCTAATCTATTTTAGTGTCTATAATTGCAAGGATGTGTGTGTTGAAAGGTGAGAGTTCTTGAACATGACCTCATGTGCGAGGCTCCGGGATAGTCAGACATTACAGCAAAGTGCACCACGATTCTTTGGGATCGTAATTGAATAAGGGAATGCTGGGATCAGGTGTGTGTGTGTGGTTGTGTGCAGACAGGGTGTGGCCCTAATGTTTTAAGTTTTCTCGCTTTGTTTGCTTTAATTTAACAGCTGAGGAGGGTTTAAGCAGACAGATGTTTCCACTTAGTGTAAAGAAATATATGTTGTATGTCAAAGATTTTTAAGTCGTACTAACTCTGCGGTCAAAATGCTTCAGAAATAAGTTGATGCCACTTTAAAAAGATTCACTGTGGAAAAAGTATTGCTTTTAAAATACACTTTGAATGCTTAGATTGCACAGTTAGTTTGCAGCAAATATACACATTCATCAGCAACTTTATTAAGAGACCAACACACACCCCTGACCACCAAGCTTGTCAAAGCTGCGTCCCAGTAACTGCAGGGAAGCAGAGATAGGCTCAATTATTTCATCATATCTACCACTGACAGGAAAAGGGAAACAAAGGAGAGGATGTCTGAGTCAACCAGAGGACTGCTAATATGATGAATCATGGATTTTGGGCTGTTTGCTGCTGTCGCTGCTAACTGTCTAACAGCCATTAAGCCACGGAGCGGTGGTCACTAGTGACAATCAGCATGCTTTTGTTTTTACAATAAGAAGAACTCTTACTGCCTCCTGGATTTGACTGCAAGTTAGGGATTTGCGATGTATTTCAAACCACCACAGTATTTTCAGACAGTTTCTTAGATATGTACTTAGTGATACTGAACATGTATAATAGACAACATGCATACACTGAAGTGCATTTAAGCAGGACTGGAGTGGACTATAACCTTGTCCTGTATGAAATGTGTGACTTGAGTAAATGTTCTACTGTGAGCATCTACAGTATGTGCATGAAGAGTTGGGGACACTTCAAGGCTACACTTTCTTGATTTATCCCGAAATTATCTGTGACTCTCATTACAATGGAGCTGGCAGTAGAAAGGTAGGCCCAGATGGCCAGGATTAGGTGGTTTGCCAGCTGGAGCCAGTGCAGAGTGCCACTTACATTCATTCTCTGACAGGTGTCATTCCTGTTAGCAAGATCCCATCCTTCTTATTTTCATTATACCCTGTACATAACTCCCCGCCCAGCTGAAGTAGCTCACAAGAACCATGAGCTGCTGATTAATGGTGTTATTACTGGTTCGTGTGTTTTCGCAGGTGGAGCAGGTGCGACTGCTGGATCGCTTCAGCAACAAATCCACACATGGCACACTGTACCTCACAGCGACACATCTCATCTTCGTGGAGAGCAGCTCCAACAACTCAGCGTCTGCCGCACAGGAGATCTGGGTGAGTAGTTTTGTGGGTGACTGTATTCATTCACAGTTTTTAACATTACTCATGGATGTAACCACGATAAACGCACCATTGTTTTTACAATCAGGCTAACCACACAAGTGCAGGGTAAGGTGCAGGATGAGAGGACTCCTACAGTGGAGACAGTTTCTCCTGTGGCTCTCATGTGCCACAATATTTTCAACTGCTGGTGCCAATATGTCAGAAGTCATATTTGAGATGGTACAGATGTGCACTTCCACACTGGAAGGACCTGATTGTAATGTTGCCAGTAGCTTCTCGCAAAATCAGTGCTGCTGCTGCCAGAAACTTGCGTGTTTTTCTCTAAATTTGCGGCCACTTTTTACAAAAGACATTTGCGCGACCGCCACAAGGAAGTCTG